TATGCAATAATAGTATATTTTGTTTGTGGTCATTCTAGATAATTGAAGTCATATACTTAATAAAGGAAAATCCTGCTTTCTTCATCATTCATCTCATGGTAAATTAAGGTTGTAGATTTAGTATAAGAGATGCATAAAACTAGCTGTTTTAAGGAGTTTCTCAGTTGTACTGTTTGTATTTTAGTTTCATATATATTTAAGTACATATGTGTATATGCTTAATTACTGAAATTATATTAATTCCTGTAGCTTGAATTTCAAACTTAATGGTTCTATAAAATGTATCTGTTTTCTGAAGATGTTATGAAACATAATGCCCAACTACCTGCCCAGAAGGTGATTAACTTTAATTTGCATAAGCACACTCCCTAACAGATACTCTTTGGTACATATTTGACAGGACTACTTTTTACAGACAAGTTAGTTTTCTTTGATTGAATAAAGTAAATAGAACTAAAGAGATTGTTTGTTAGTTCAGATCTACTATACAGCCTGGATTGGTTTGTTCATTCATGTTTTGCTTTTTTCTGACCTAATCGCTAATCTTTCAAAAAACCTGTTTCTTAAAATTGACTAAAAATGGGTCTTCTGCAACTGACCCATAATGTGTCTGTCCTCTGGTGTAGGACTACTAAGAACAAAGATTTGGTCTTAGCCCAAATATGTTTAGAAAAACAATTATGTTCCTTGCTACAGACAGTTATTTATCTAGTAATATGAGGATATATACCACAGTGGAGCTGGTGGAGATGGAGCCCAACTTCAGGCACAAATGAGATAGCATACCAGCATGGATACTAGAGTAGATGGTATAATGTTGAATGATATAGAAGTGTTTAAAATAACTTCATTAACTCTCCACCCCACTTACATTGGCATCTTTACTGCAGTGCTGCTTATGACTGTGGGGTCATTACTACTCACTACTCAGAAAAGTCACCAAATTTAGAAAGCACAATAAAATCCTATGCAGTAAAGCACTGGATTTCTGATCATAGCACAGTCAATTGTTGGTTATTGTTGGTGGACAGTAGAGGAAAAAGGAAAAGAAAGTTCAATATAGGGAAAGAGGGAATGAAGATACTCATTTTGAGAGCCAGTCTAGTGATCAGCCAAAGACATACATGAGGAATTCACCAGACAAAACTCCCTATGAAGATGGATCAAAATACTGTGTCCAAAAATGCACTGATTGTCTGTTTATCTGAATTTTTCTCCTTTCATTTGCCCATAAAATTCATCCCATTTTAATATTACTTTGTCTCACACTCCAAAGAGACATCTTTAATTTATGTCACTCTTTAACACCTTTCACTTAGAAATCATATTTTCAAATCTTCTCCATCCAACTTGCACACATATGTATTTGATGCCAGATTATGTGTATTATGAAAAATATATATTTAGGAGTCACATTTTATGGATTAAGTAAGTGGTTCTGGGGCTCTACCTTTTCACTGAAACATTGGACAAACAAAGGGAAACTATCAGAATTATCTTTGTTGAGACCCTGGGAAATAGTCCAAGGTTTATAACTATAAGGTGAATGCTGAATCAACAAAAAGGCAACATAAAAGTGGTAGGGGAATGTTGTGGCACTTTTACTTACCCTTGGCCCAGGGTCCTCCCCTGCTCAGCAGAGGTCTTGAAGAAAGCAGCCTTTATTCCCAGGGTAGAATCTTGGTCCCTAGATCTAGAAGAGTAGAGAAGTCTTATTCTTCAAGAATTTCATCTGGTCAACCTATCTGGTGCTACTTGAAGAGTTGATCAAAGACACTTTTCTTTCTGCTCCCTTTTATTCCTTCTTAGCTAAGAGCTTTTTCAGGGCTTATAAATGAACTTTCAGGGGATATTCCCTAAAAACACTGCAAGACAAATGCGTAGCCCTCACTTTCTATGAAAAAACAATATGAGGAAAACCATAGATGGGCTGAAAAGATGGGAGGAAAATGAAAGAAAGGCTTTGTGAGGAAGAAGGACATTGAAAGTTTCCTGATATAGGAATTTAGAAAGCCACAGGCATTCCCACAGCAGGATGTACACCAAGTAAATGTCTTAGAAGACCCAAGGTTACAACTCTAACTGATGTTTAGGCTCAGGAAAAGCAGGAAGTGAAGAGTCAGGCAAATTGGTAAAGGGCATGGCTAGGCATTGAGAGAATATCCCAATACTGAGCCACTGCAAAGATTGGGTGAGGCTTTTTTCTTTTCTCTAAGAATTAAAATAATTTCTATCATAAATAATAATATCTATAACAAATTTCTATGCTCAGCTGGTCATAGGCTAGAGGAAAAAATACTTCAGAGACCAGAAATGACAAAACAGTACATTTCAAATAGTTCATTAAATAATTTCAACCCACACAAGTCATCAAAAACAAACCCTGAGCATGAAGAAGAATCTGATTTTTAAAGTAATCACATGAAAATTTAAAAATGTCCAGTTTTCTACACAAAATGAAAATCCCAGTAAGAATAATAATAAAAAAGAACCATTTACAGAAAAATTAACACATCCATTGGGAATGAAAGTCAGTGGATGTGTCAGGCAAAATATTTTAAACAAACTCGCGTAAAAATACTCAATGAGACAAAGGAAATTATGAAAAAAAGAATTAAAGAAAGCAGAAAAATGATGTGTCCTAAAATAATGCATGTCAATAAAGGGAACCAAATTATAATAGGACTAAACTATAATTCTGAAGGTAAAAATTGGATTAAATTAAGGACTCACTTCAACAGCAGAGTTTAGCAAGCAGAAGAAAGAATCAGAGAACTTCAATGATGAATTTTGAAAAGGTCACTTACAAAATAAAACCTTTCTTGAACCCTGGGGTGCTTAAACACTGAGCCACATCCCAGCACTTCTTATATTTTATTTAGAGACAGGGTATCACTAAATTGCTCAGGCCCTTGCTAAGTTGCTGAGGCTGGCTTTGAACATTCAATCCTCCTAACCAATGGGATTACAGGCATGTGCAACAGAAATTGGCCAGAAAGTCAAACTTTCATCCATTCTTGGCAGTTATGTGAAAAGATACAGCTGTAATAGAAAACAGTCTATCAGTTACTTAAAAAGTTTAATAATGAATTATGATAGGGCATAGGAATTCTACTGGTAGGTATGTATTTCAAAAATGTGAAACCTGTGTTCAAATAAATAACCGTACACAAATGTTATTGCAGAACTTTCAATAGCAGCCAAAGGGATGGAAATAATTCAAATATCTTTCAAATGATGATGGGTAAGCAAGTTGAGGTACTTCCATAAAATGGAACAAAATCAGTTGTAGGAAGTAGTTCCAATATAGCCACAATGAGGATGAACCTTTAAACATTATGCTAAGTAAAAAAGCCAGACATAAAAAGTCAAATGTTGTATAATTTTTCACATAACAAATTTCAGAATAGTCAAATCCATAGAGCCTAGGCAGATAGGTGGTTGTCAAGATTCAGGGGAGTTCGAAAAAGAGTGATTGCTTAATGAGTATGAAGTTGTCTTTTGTGATGATGAAAATATTTTGGAACTTTTTAGAGGTGGTTGTTCCAAAATATTATTAATTTACTAAATGTACAAATTCAAATGATTCATTTGATATATTCTTAACAATTTCTTCTTAACAAAATTTAAATGTCAAAATACATTCTACTGTCATGTATGTCTAAAAACAACAATTAAAAAAATAAAAAAAATTAGTATTTCCAATTAAATAAAGTATATATAAAACCCATCACATCCTCATTATTTCTTACATTTTATTATTACCTATGCTCCTTATTATTATTATTATTATTACTGAGGATTAAACACAAGGGTGCCTTATCACTAAGCTACATCCCCAGCCACTTTTAAAAATATTTTTTGTTTTGAGATAATCTTGCTAAAATTGTTGAGGCTGGCCTTTCATACACAATCCTGCTGCCTCAACTTCCAGATTCTCTAAGATTATAGTTGTATACCAACACACCCAGTTTATTTATGCTCTCAAATCCACTTTTGTCCCTTATCTGTGTATAATGATATGTTGCTGTGCATCCTTTCCTAATTTTCAGTTGGAGTTGGTAACTTAAAATTGCCCACAGAGATGTGTCATGTAGGGGGAATAGGCAAATGCCAGGAACCAGGAATTTTGTTTTCCTGGAGCCGGTGTTAAACCTTTACCACACACCAATGATTGCATTCAGTCCTCCATGGTTTTGTCTGCTTCCCTTAGACCACTGACTGTGCTCCCAGGGAGCAGAGACTCTGTCTTGTTCAGCTTTCAATTCTGAGATAGAAAACAGTGTTTGTCAAAAATGGAGTACATTTTCATTTAAAAGATAGAGGACAGAAAGGGGTTGCCACTATCAAGCCAAAGGAGAAACTCATTATCTTAGAAATAACAGTGACATATAGTTTGTGAAAATTTGTATAGAGGAATCATTGTTAGGAACTTGGAAAATCTAAATGAGATACCTTATAAGGCATAGATGTTCATAGAGGGTTCCAGAGAATTTTACAGTGTGTTAGTCAGCTTTCTCAGTGCTGAGAACAAAGACTAGACAAGAATAACTTTAAAGGAGTTAAAGTCTATTTATTGGGCTCACAGTTTCAGAGACCTCAGTTCATAGATAGCCTTCTCCATTCCTCAGAATTGAGATGAGGCTGAACATTATGGCTGAAGGGTGTGGCGGAAGGAAAGAGTTTAAGACATCACGCCAGGAAGCAGAGAGTGAGCTCTGCTCAACAGGACAGAATATACGTATATATTTGAAAGGCAAGCACCCAGGAACCCACCTCATCTTCCCATACCCTAGAAGCCTACAGTTACCACCCAGTTAATCCCTATCAGAGGATTAATGAACTGATTAGATATATTAAGACTTAGTCTCTCGTTTAAAGAGAGATAATAACCTAAAAACCTAATTATTTCATCTCCAAGCCTTCTTACATTGTCTCAGACATGAGCTTTTCGGGGACACCTTATATGCAGACCATAATATTGAGTGTGACAGATTATAATTCACAGAGAAAATAGGCCTAGGGAGTGTATTTCATGGAAACAGTTCAGTATGCCTCTTATTAAAGGACACATATAACCTGTAAGATACCTGTTATCACACCTAATTTCATGGTTAGTGAATAGAAAGGACTTGGGACTTAAGAGGCTCAAGAATTTTACCTGGATTCACGTATTCAGGGTATGGGGGATTCATTTGATAACTTTATGTCTTTCAAGGTGATGCAGTCAAATTGCTAACAGGATTTCTAGTTATTTTTATCCTAGAAGCCAAAGCACTCAGGAAACTGATAAATGCATCAGAAAAAAACAAATTCGGAAAACACCTAGGAGGCTTTAATGGGATAATCAAGGTCCAAGGAACAGGGACCCTAATAGAACTGGGTTTTGAAGGATAGGGGAAAAAAGGAAACTCCCAAAATATAATGTTTCTGTCCAACTCCCAGAGGATAGTGAAGATTGAATGTGAAATGGCAAATAAGTCCCTATAGGAGTATAAGTACAGGAGTCTGTACTCCCACTTATACCCAAATAATAATGAAGATATGGAAGATCACATTGGAAAAGATAGGAATGCTCAAGACAGAGGATCTGATTTAAGAACATGTCTTTTTCCTGGCTACTAGAAACAGCATACCAGAACTGTAGCCAGGGACTCTAATCCTGTGGGTTAACTTTAACAAGGTAGCATCTCCTTAATTTTCTGCCATCAGTAAACAACAAATATTATCCATAGAAATTGCTGTAACATAGAGAATGATTCATCATTTAATATATTTATTCATCATTTAATATTTCTATATATATATATAAATAACTATGTCATGTATAATATATACATAATAACATATAATATCATGTATATATTATACATGACATAGTTATATATCTATGTATTTATATATATGTTATACATGACAGTACAGTGCATTTTGACACATAGCTCATATATTTTAAAGCTAAAATTTTCAGACAGTGAATTAAACAAAAATGTTTTCCTCTTAACTTGCCATAGAGCTTTGTTTTGTTATAGAGATAGATTCAGAGCACAGAGGGTGAGGTTCATTCATAGAAAGGCAAATTGCACAATACTAAGGGAGGTGTTTAGGATTATAGTGTCCTCATTTCTCTTACTGATTCAACTTGTGTTAGAGAGTTGTGCTTGGTTTTAAGCCAACTTAGTGTTAAAAGACTAAGTTAATATTTCAATCTTAATTTTGCATAATAAGCATCTGGGCACATTTTTTAAAATGTGAATTCCTAGTTCCCTTTTCAATTCCAACAGGAGATATCTAGCTATTGTTCAGAAACTATGATTTTTGTAAACATCTGAAATCAGATTGATAAAAGTTGCCAAATTGTCAATAACATTTTGAAGGTGGCTATCTTAAAGAGACATTTTCAATGGAGAAAATATGATAGTATAAAGCATAAATTTGACATTCTAAATGAGGTGGATTTGAAAACAACTCATTTTAGCTAAGTGCTAAAGTATTTGCTGGTTGAATATTTGCATATATACACATGAAACTGCAATTAGAATGCTAGAATGTTACCCTGAGTCTAGTTGCAGAATTTAGCATCAAAGGACAAAGAAATGTAAAAGATGAAGTATAAATACACATACAACATAAGTCCAAAACTAGAGCAAACCCTGACTGACTGATTTTGAGGATAGATCACTAAGAATATGG